CTTCCCTCCCCCCCCCCCCCCCGCCACTCCCCTTCCCTCCTCCCTTCCCACTCCCCTTCCCACCCCCTTTCCTACACCATCAGCAGCAGCATCAGCATGTGAACAGAGCCCCGGGACGCTGTCTAGTTGAAACCATTCCTCTCGATGAGGACCTCTTTCCACCGGGTGAGACATCAGAGAGCCACAAGGGAAAGAGGGACGAAGGGAGGGTCGCTGAATGGACTGACGGATATCACTATGTGGCCTGTGCCTTGGCTGCTGTTGGCTTGCCGTGTGTGGTGTCTCTGCTGTTGTCCAGATGGGGAGAGGCCATCGCTGCCTATATTTTATATTTAGCTGGACACGGAGAGTTCTTCCACGTTCCCACGCTCAGAGACTGTAAGGACAGAAATTGTACACAGCAGGTATGCGTCCATGCCACTTCCATGCCGTGGTCTCTCTCTGTCTCTGTGCCAGCCTGCAGAAGGGGATGGAATCCGAGCCAGAGGGACGTGTTACTGTCTCGTGTTGTGTGTCTGCAGTCACGAGGCTGTCGGGTGAGGGCGAGGGGACGGAGGCACGACGGCCTATACGTCCCTCTGATGGTGTCTCTGCTGTTATTCAGGCGGGGAGAGGCAATCGCTGTCTACATTTTATAGTTGGCTGGACACGGACGCCCTTTCCACGCTTGACGCTCCTCCCCCAGACGGTCAGGCACCGTGATCACACACGACTGAGCGGGACACACCATGCACTCATTCCCTCTCTGTCTCTATACCTGCCTGCAGAGACTGTTTGGAGGGGCTGTCGAGGATGCTATACCCGCAGCACCATCGCCCGCGGCAAACGCCACCAATGTTGAGAGGATGGCCTGACGGATATCACTATGTGGCATGTGCCTTGGTTGTTGTCGGCTTGGCGTGTGTGGCGTGTCGCAGGTCTGATCACGGGGAGGGAAGAGAAGGCCGTGACGCCCCCAGTGGTGGCCTGGGCGGCGATTGAGGAAGGGCACCAGCCCCACCATCCGCCTCATGGATGCCCAGTTGCACCGCTACCGTGCGCTGGGCTTCCTGGACGTGACGCGGCCACCGACGACGCACCGGAGGGTGCCGGTGGAGTTGCAGGGCTTGTACATGCTGACAGAGTACGCCGGTAAGCTGCTGTGCTGTGGGGGAGGGGAGGAACACTTGCACTCGACACGTGGCTCATGGGAGTTGTCTGTCTGCTTGGCCGTGTTTCTTCCCCTCAGCCTTCTTGCCCCAGTCGACCGGCACCTTCCTGGAGCAGCAGCCTCCCCCACCAGGCCGGCCGGACGAGACCGACAACTACGGGGACGCACCGACAGACAGCGGTGAGAAACAGACAGTCATATCGACCCCTTGACACACCCACCCATACTCCCACACATCTGGTTGGTCGGTCTGTGTCCTGCTTAATGTTGCTCTTCAGGTGCGAATTGCATGGAGGCCGAGACGCTGCTCTACCTCCGGGAGAGGGCAAGGAAGGGACCACTGGGAGGATCAGGAGCAGCAGCGGCGGTTGTGGAGCGGCCGGCAGGCGCCGTCACCCTCACCGACCTCGCCTACATCGCCAAGATCAAGTCAGGGGCGCCGGCATCGAAATTCCTCTCGGTCGCCCAGTGGAGGAGCGTGAAGCTCATCAGCCAAACCCTCCACCGCCTTCACCTGCCCCCCACATCATTCACACACATTGCCTGCAGAGACACCATCCATCGCTTTCTCTCTGTGGCTTGGTTGTTGCAGCTCCTGTGAGCGCCACCTTTGAGCTGCCGGGCATGTCGATGCCTAGGTGTGTAGACGACTGCCATGGGTCAGGCTGAGAGGCATGGCATATACATATTGTCACATGGTCTCCCCTTGATTGTGTCTCATCTGTAGCTCAGGCAGGGCGAGGCAATCGCTGCTTACATTTTATATTCGTCGTCGGTGCGCCGGAGACCCGCGTCCTATCGCCTCATGTGTGACCAAAAAGGTGAGAGGGAAGGCAGACGGCTTCTACTTGCTTCATTATTCAGCTCTTTGCTTCCGCCTCTCAGAGATCAGAGCACCCTCCCCTATTTGGCCCTGGGTGGGTGCCTGCAGCTGTCCCGGCTACCTCCAGCGCCGCGAGAAGAACTACAAGGCCGCGGCTACTCAGACGATCGTGGTCGCGACGAGGTCAGCGACTCACTCGCAGTGGACTGCTGACCTCGCATGTATTTCGAGCTGCTCGCAGCCACGGGCGAGGAGACGACCTTGACCCCCGCATCTGATCCAAACTCTGGCTTCTCTGTCGGGTGAGTCGGACACACACAAAGGGAGGAGCACGCACACGACATGCAATGTATCCATGCGCCACTCATCTTCGTCCTTCTGTTGTTTTCTCACTCTCCCCTTGAGTGTGAGGTCCTGCATGACATGCCGCGGGAAGTGCTGCAAGGCCTCGGCTATTCGACGATCATCCTCTGGCAAGACGTCGTGTATTCAGACGATGCGGCCAGCAGCACCACGTCTGGGAGGCGCTCAAGGAGCTCAGCCTCGACAAGTCCATCCCCTACAGTGACAGGACGTACTCGGAGTGGGCTCCTCTCCTCGACCAACTCTTCACCAAGGTGAGAATGTGTTTCAAGAACCTCGCGGCACGGGCGAGGCGATGAACGAGGCCCAGCTGAAGGCGAAGTTCATGATCGCGCAGAGGGTACACACAGAAGCCAGCCAAGGGATGCTTGCTGTTGTGAGTGGGCGGAGCAGAGGGGGGCATGGCCTGTACATATTTGTCCCAGTGGACTTCCTATGATGGTGTCTCTGCTGTTGTGCAGATGGGGAGAGGCAATCGCTGCCCACATTTTATATTTGGCTGGACACGGAGACTTCTTCCACGTTCCCACGCTCTGAAACTGTAAGGACAATTGTACACAGCGGGCATGTATCCATACCATGGTCTCTCTGCTGTCATTCAGGGGAGTTCGAGTGGCCTGAGTAATGATGGTGGTGTTGACGAGATGTCTGGTCAGCTTTGCTTTCAGCGTTGTGATTTCTCTGTTTGCAGCAGCAGCACACCCAAGGCCCGCATTGGAAAATGCCACACGGCCGCCGAGGACGACGACGACGACGACGACGAGGACGTCAACGACGACGACCATGTGGTGCGCCGCTGCTCATTCATATGTGTGTGTGTGCGGCGGTGTGTGCAGTTGCTATCGAGGGCCAAGCGGGAGGGCGCCAGAGGAGCTCGACCCCCTCTGTATATATAGAATATGCATTGAAGTGCGGCCTTTTATTTGTCTGCGTCTGGTGTCTGTACAGAGGGCCTGGCACAAAATCGCCAACCCACCCCCACTACCACAAATACATGTGCCAGGTCAGGCAGTCAGGAGCACCATACACCAAACGAAAGAAAGAAGGTCGCATAAACGACTGCTTACCATGTGCAGATGCCTTTCCTCAGCTGAGGGGAAATCGCCGTGCTGGGCGCGTCGGGCTCAAGTCCCTCGTGCAGCCGCAACAGGTGAGCCAGCCACGCCGGGCAGGCAGCTAGGGAGAAAGGCAGGTATGTCTTTCATGTGTCTATGTATGTCTGCCTGTGCGCAGGAATATGAGGACATGAGGAGACGGATGCAGATGCCGTGCACACAAGGCCGTGCTGACGCCACGACAAGCGGTACGCCGTGCAGACACAAACTGTGGGACGATCTATACGAGCAGTGCACCCATCTCTCTTCCTGTCGTCCTTTTCACCAGCCTCCCCTGTTGCTTGAGGAAACAAAGCGCACCAGCATCAGCACGATGCCATCGGCAACCCAGCCACAGCAACAGCAGCAGCAGCATTTCAGCTATGGAGCGGCACCTGGCATCCTCCCGCCGCCTTCTACAGCCTTTCAGCATCAGCAACACCCCACCTGCATGTGGCCACCCCCACCCCCTGTGCCCACCAAAAGCCCATTGAGCGGTCACCCGCTCGAAGGCGGCACAAGCCGCCTGCGCCGAGACAGCCACACCACAGACAGTGGCCCTGGGAGTCGCGCGCGAAGCCCTTCGTCGCCTCGCCTTGCTGCCGGGCTCGCCGGGAGGCGGAGGCGGCAGCCGCTCCCCTTGCCGGCCATGTTCCGCCGCCACACGCCCAGCTGGCCGCACCGCACCCGCTGCACCTGACCACCGCAGCACGCGCGCCAGCGGCGTACAACCCTGACTGGGGCTTATTCGACCGACAGCCGCCATGGCGCTCACCACTGCCGCCTCAACAGCAGCAGCAGGACCGCCAGCACAGCCACTGAGGGCGACGGCACGGCCGAACATCGCGGGCAATGCTGCGTCTCCTGCCAGGGCGGGAGAGGGGAGGGAGAGGGAGGAGGAGGAGGAAGTGATGGATGAGGAGGACGGCCGCACTCCGCCAGCCAGCAGCCACCAGCGGTAGCAGGAGGGAGAGGAGAGGGAGACAGAGGAGGAGGTGATGGACCAGGAGGCGATGATCTGTACAGATATCACTGGCTTGTCCTTGGATGGTGTCTCTGCTGTTTTGCAGATGGGGAGAGCAATCGCTGCCCACATTTTATATTTAGCTGGACACGGACGCCTTTTCCACGTTCCCACGCTCAGAAACTGTAAGGACAGAAATCGTACATAGCAGGCATGTATCCATGCCATGGTCTCTCTCTGTCTCTCTGTCTCTGTGCCAGCCTCCAGAAGGGCCTGCAACCGAGCCAGAGGGACGTGTTGCTGTCTCGTGTGTGCCTGCAGTCACGAGGCTGTCGGGTGAGGGCGAGGGGACGGAGACACGACGGCCTATACGTCCCTCTGATGGTGTCTCTGCTGTTATTCAGGCGGGAAGAGGCAATCGCTGCCTACATTTTATATTTGGCTGGACACGGACGCCCTTTCCACGCTTGACGCTCCTCCACCAGACGGTCAGGCGCCGTGATTACACATGCATCAGCGGTGCATACCACGCACTCATTCCCTCTCTGTCTCTATACCTGCCTGCAGAGAGCGTTTTGAGGCTGTGAGAAGATGCAATATCTTCACTTCCAAGGCCATCGCCCGCAGTGGCAAAAGCGTAGAGGATGTCCACGGGAGCGTATCAGCAGCAGCAGGGGTACCAGCAGCAGGGGCGCACGGTGAGCAGCAGTCCGCCGTCCGCCATGCCCTCAGAGTTCTACCCCCTACTGCCGCCCGGCATGATTATGCCCGGGACGTCGCAGCCTCAGTCTCTGAATGCGTCTGAGATGAACCAGTTGATTGAGCAGGAGGGCGGGCCCTTGCAGCAGCAGGGGATCGGGGGCGGGAGCGGTGGGTATCAGCTGCAGCAGCAGCCACAACAGTCACAGCAGATGATGGCCCAAGCCGGTGTGGCACAAGAGATCAAGGTGAGAGGACAGACAGACTCGCAGTGAGCCCATTGTCCGTCTCTATGTGTTTTTTGTTGCAGCCGATGGTTCAGCAGGACAGCATGGCCCCCACAATGCCCCAGCAGCATGAGCAGAAGGAACCATATCAGCAGGCGTACGAGCCGCCCTCCCCCACACCACCACCACCCCAGCAGCCACAGCTCCCGTCGATGGGCCCGCCGTCCCCCGCCGCTTCGTTCTTCAACGTCGATCAGCCCCCACCCCCGCAGGCGCCTCACCAGCAGCAGCAGCCGCCTTCGCTGCCCACGTCCGTCTTGTCGGCCTTTGAGCCGTCAGGGCGGTATGCGGTGCGACTGCCCGTCCGCATGGACCGCCCCATGCTGCTGGAGGGCGTGTCAGCGGCCTGCTTACCCCCGACACCCGTCTGATGCTCAAGACGGTGGTGCCGGCGGGGCTGGGCAATATCGTACGTGACGACGAGAAGGCAGTGGCGGCGAGGCGGCTGGAGGCCGACGCCAAGGCCATAGAATCCCTGGAGGGGATCAAGGGGAGGGAGGGGCAGCCCGTTACGCCCCCAGTGGTGGCCTGGGGGTCAATTGAGGAGGGCAGCAGGCCCACCATCCGGTTGATGGACGCCAAGTGGCACCGCTACCGTGACCTCGGCTTCGATGGCAGCTGGCGGCCGCCGCTGACGCACAACACGAGGAGAACGGGGGAGCTGCAGGGGTTTTACGTGCTGAATAAATATGCCGGTAAGTCGATTATGGGGGAGGAGAGGAACACATGCACACGACACGTGGCTCATGGGAGTTGTCTGCCTGCCTGTCGTGCGTGTTTGTCCCTCCATTCAGCGTTTCTCCCCGCCGCCACCCGCATCGCCCTGGAGGAGGAGCACCCGCCACCCGACCAGCCGGATGAGGCTGACGAGGACGAGGACGAAGATGACAACGAAAGTGGTGAGACAGACAGACGCACCCATACCGACACTCATTTGGTCGGTCGGCTTCTGTCTTGCTCTGTGTGGTCTCTCAGACGACAGCGACGACCCCGTCTGCAACATGATGCGGGAGCTGAGGGAGAGGACGATGAGCAGAGCGGCGTGCGAGGCACCAGCGTCAGCAGCAGCAGAGGAGGAGGCAGAAGTCAGTGGCGATGAGGGCGAGGACCGGCGGGTGACTGTCGGCAACGTCAGGGCGCACGAGCTCTGGACTGGCGCCGTCACCCTTGCCGACCTCGCCAATATCAAGGCGGGCCTGGCGGCATCAGCTCTTCTCTTCTCTGCGGCCGAGAGGAGGAGCCCGGAGCTGATCCGCCAGACGCTCGGCCGCCTTCGGCACCGGTTCCAGCTCGCCGCCAACGTCTACCGGCGCCTGATCGTGTCGGTGCTGTCGGCACTGCAGGCCATCCACGGGGCGGGCGGCCCCAGGGCGGCCCCACATGGGTCTCGGCCGTCATGCTGCTGGCTGGAGCAGTACGGGCCGGGCGGGGCGGGGAGCGGCTGGGCTGGATGTAACTGTAGAGTCATTCCTTTCAGCTTGCAGTCACAGAGAGAGAAAGCGAGGGGGGGGGGGGGTTGAGCC